TTTCTGTTTTGTATTTATGTTCTTTTTTTTTTCAGATTCCACATATGAGTGATCTTATATGGTATTTTTCTTTCTCTTTCTGGCTGACTTTAATTAGAATGACATTCTCCAGGAACACCATGTTGCTGCAAATGGCGTTATGTTGTCATTTTTCATGGCTGAATAGCATTCCATTGCATAAATATACCACAACTTCTTTATCCATTCAGGCTGTTTCAAGTACCTATATCTTGATGTGTCCAGTTGGACACACGGTTACTAATGGATAGACTTTTCTAAACATCACCCAGACCCAGACAGAGCCCTGGCTTTCTGTGCTCCTGCCCTGTCATCACCCACCCCAACTGCACCCCAATTTCTGTCACGGTTTGGTGTGTTCCTGGAATTTCTGTAAACGGGCTCACACAGCATTGCTCCCTTCCTCACCCTTACCTGGGGGAGACGCACCCTGCCCTTGTATCACGGTGACTAGCAGTAGTTCATTCTTGTTTCTTCTTCTTTTTTTTAAAAGCAGTTTTAGGTTCGCAGAAAAATTGAGGGGCAGGTACAGAGGTTTCCCATATATCCCCTGCCCCCACAATCACAGCCTCCCCACTATCAGCTCCCATCAGACGGGCCATTTGTTACAATCGAACCTACCATGCCGTGTCATCACCACCCATAATCTACCTTGGGGTTCACTCTCGGTGTTGTCCATTCTCTGGGTTTGCACTAATGTATAAAGACATGTATTCATTATACTGTTACACAGAGCATCTTCACTGCCCCCCAAAATCCTTTAGCGCCATCTATCTTTCCGTCCTTCCCCCAGTTCATTCTTTCTAGTTCTGGGGATATTGCATTGTAAAAATATTCCAATATTTCACAATTATTTATCTATTCAATTGTTAGTGGGCATTTCTAGGTTTGGTTTTTATGAATAAAACTGCTGTGAACATTTTTGTACATGGTCCTGGTGGACAAATGTGTTAGTCTCTGTTGGATGTACACCAAGGGTAGAATTATCCAGTTGCAGGGTTAGTAGATATTGCCAGTTTTCTAAAGTGGGTTTTTTTTTTAATCTATTTGCTTTTTTCCTCCAACAACAAAGGAGGATTCCAGTTACTCTTGGTCCTCACCAATGCTTGCAGGCTGCTCCTGTCCAGTTGCAGGAAAAGCAGGCAGGCTGCGCCCCCTGGTGGCGAGAACAGGCTCTGCCTGCTCTTCCCGGAGCGTGGGGCTGGCCTTCCTGTTGGCGTGGTCACTCTCACCAGTGGGCTGGGCTTCACGACTCCCGGACTTGCCAGGGGGAGCCAGAACGAGACTTTCCAAAGGCTCTTAGGGGCTTTTCAACGATTCGAGTCCCTTTTGGACCACCATCGGGCTGCATTTAGTTTTGATCCAATTTCTTTCCAGTCCTACACAAATTGGCAGGTATCCATTTTCCCAAACAGGCAAGGCTGATAAGATGGACAAAATGTTAATTAGCGGCCCACTGTTTTGTCAGCTCTAAGTACACGTAGTGTGGAGCCTGGAGCACAGGGCTGCCTCTCAGAAGACCTGGGGTCCTTTCTGGGTTCTGACCTCCCAAGTCGGGTGACCTTGGGCAAGTCCTTCCCCCTCTCTGGGTCTTCATTTCCTCATCTATGGAGACGAGTTCCAAGGGCCTTCCCAGATCCAGGCATTGGTGTGTGCTTGCTTTCAGACGGGGGACTGCCTCACAGGCCCATGCTTGGGGCCTCTTCCCTTGGGCCAGATGGTGAGAATGGGCCCCATGTGACAGCCTCACCCAGCTCTGCCCCCTCCCCTGTTCCCTATGCGTGGTTAGGAGACTAACTGCTCTGGTCCCCGGGTTGAATTTTTCATGTGGGCTCCGACTCCCACTTGCTGTGTGGCTGGGGTCACAGCTTAACCTCTCTGTGCCCTTATTTCTGTAAACGTCATGTTCTGTAAACGGGAGTGGAGAGTGGACAGTATAGTGGAGAAATCACAGCGCAGAGGTGGCTCTGCTTTTGATTGAATGCTGGCTCTGTGCCCAGCCTGGCACTGGCCGTGAGGACCTCCCAGGGAAGGAAGTGTCTGGCTGCCAAGCAGCATGCTGGAGAAGGCACTGGGCGGTTGTCAGCTGGTGCTCCCTGTGTACTCTGAGAGGCTGCTGAGGGAGCAACATGGACAGAGTCTGCCACCTGGTGGCAGGAAAGAGCCCTGCTCCATAAGGGAGGCTCCAGGTGGGGAGGGAAGAGCTGGCGGGCCAAGGCCTTGAGCGTCTGCTACCCGGAGCAGCAGAGACTATCCCATAAATGAAAGTCGTTTTTGCCTTGGTGTGGATGGAGCTCCTTCAGCCCCGTGAGCTACTGAAGCTTGGTCCATGTGACGTCCCCATGATGTAATAAGGGCGTGAGGTACGTCCTCCAGGACCTGGAACAGGGTGACAACCTTGTGTGTATCAAGTTTGTGTGTGTACAGGTTACACGGAGCTGTGGATCCAGGCAACGGCTCACCCCGGACGGTGGGAGTGGTCCCTCGCCCTGTCCCCGGAAGTATTTTATCACTGATCTTGTTTAGAATTGCTGGTGTGGTGCCAATAAAGAGCAGACTCATGTTTAATTGGCCTTATGGTTGTTTTTAATTCCTCTTCAGACAGCACCCCAACCCCCCAGCACCTGCGGTGGGAATGCGTCTTCTGCCTGTCCCCTTGGGAGCAGGCTGGCCATGGGACACTCCATGTATCTGTGCCGTCTCCAAGCCAGCCACGAACCATAGCATCTTTCTAGACCGTCACTCCCTCCGGAGGGAGAGCCGTGGTGTGCCCAGCCCACCCTTCCTATCGCAGAGAGCTGAGGGGTGCATGGTGCCTGAGAAGGGAAGATCCCACCTGTGCTTTGCTTGTGAGCCACGTGGTTTCCTAGCAGGCAGGTGGTGAGGGTGGGCTGTGGCCGCGGCTGGGGGAGACGTGCTGGCTGTGGGGGCATCTCCCCAGCAGCTGGGACCACAAGACGCTCCTCTCTGGCAGTGGACACCTCTAGGAATAGGTCATTCTGAGTGACCCTGAGTCGTCGGGGCTTCTGGGGGCTGCTTCCCTGGCCCACTGGAGCCCTGGGGGTGCAGAATTGGGGATTGGGTAATGGGAGAGAAGACAGGGAGCCTCGGGAGGTTAAATTAAGCTGGGAGTGCAGGCTGAGGAGAGAGGAGCTTCTCTGGGTGGGCTGACGAGGGGAGTCTGAGGTGGGATGTGAACAGCTGGAGCAAACGTGAACCCGGCGGGCAGACGCGGGCCTCTGGGAAGAGCAGCTGTACCTCGGCTCCTGGACCACTTCATCGCAGCCTGAGGGACGCAGGCTTGGAGTTTTGCTGTTATCAGTTGACAGCTAATTGTACTTGAAAAAAAAAAGTGACGTGTGGAGAGAGGGGTCCAGGCGGGAACCCAGCATGGGGGATCGTGTGCTTTCCACTTTCACCCCGTCTGGGCCGGCTCCCCCCAAGACTGTATCTTCTGTAAGGTTTTCGATGCCGTCCCACAAGCAGAGCAGATCTGCAGTACAGCCCGCAGCTCGCCTCCGCCTGGGCTCCGAAGCCTGGCGCGTCGCTGATCCTGTGTCGTGTGCTTGGAGTCTGCTCAGGATGGGTCTCAGGTATTCTCTCACACTCACTCACACACACACACACACACACACTCACACACACTTACACACAGTAACTATGTGAGGTAATAGGCGTACGAATGATCTGGACAGTGGTGATGATTTCACAACGTGTATCAAATCATTAAGTTCTGCACCTTAAGTATATACAATTGTAAACTGTTAGTTGTACCTCGAAGCTGGAGAAAGAAACTTCTCGTGTCCCGGGAAAGCCTGCAGATCACCTCCGGGGCTGCTCCAAGATCTGTCGGCTTGTGCTGTCATTACTAATGATTCTAACTCTTCAAATAATCTCTGAGCATCTGGAGACTAGGGAATCACCCCACTTTTGTTTTTTGTATATTCTCAGGGAGAGTCTGGGGAGTGTCCAGTCAAGGGAGATTACACGGCAAAGATAGATTTATCTGCAACCCTCTCCTGGGTTTGCCTCTCACCGTGTGTAAAAGAATGCGGATTAAGAAAGGATTTTACTTCCTCAAAGAAAAGGCAGATCCCCTATTTCAAGCCTGTCCTGGGTTGAATAGTGTTTCCCCCAAATTCTGTCCACTTGAAACTTCAGAATGTGACCTTACTTGGAAACAGAGTCCTTGGAGATGTGACTAACAGTGGAGCTGAGGTCATGCTGGGTGAGGGTATGGTGACTGGTGTTCTTACAGGAAGGCCATGTGGAGACAGAGACGCAGAATGAAATGATGCAGCTGTAAACCTGGGAACACCAAGGGTCGCCAGCAACCCCTAGAGGCTGGGAAGAGACAGCAATGGGTTCTCCTCCAGAACCTTCAGAAGGAATAGGGCCCTGCTGATCCCTTGATGCTGGACTGCTAGCTTCCACAACAGTGAGAGAATACACTTCTGTTTTTTCAAGCCATCCAGTTTTTGGTCATTTGTGACAGCAGACCCAGGAAGCCAATACACAGCCTAAACTTCAAACCTCTACGTCTGATCCTGGGAAAAGAATTTTATAGGAAGCTGGTGTTTTCGGCAGGAGGCTGGGACTGATTCTGTCCCTGAGCGCGGCTTTTCCTTTGCATGTGTGGATGTCTGTCCTGCTTCAAGGTGTGTGAGAGTCAGGGGTCAGGATGCTGCTGTGTTCAACGCCTTTCCCCAAGGGTAGCACGACCCTCCCCTTTATGCTCTGGAACCTACCTAACCCGATGCCAGAAGATTTAAGCCAGATGACACAGTGCCTGGTATGTTCCACCCATAACCCCACACATTACCTCGTCTGATCCTCAACCCGCTGTATGATGAGGTGTCAGTAAGAGCTCTCGGTATCATTCAGGCCGCTTGGTCTCCGGTAATAGACAGTAACCCTGGACATGTCCAAACTTCAGGGGAAAGCCCTAGAATGATGTGGGCCTCGTAGACTAGGTTTGGGATATGGCCATGAACAATGGAGCCCTCACGGGCCACGGGGCTGGATCACGGTCCCGAAGTAATCCGTGGCCCGAGGACCAGTCAGCTCGCCAACGGCACCAAGGTAGTGATGCCACCTCATGCCAGTCAGAATGGCCATCATTCAAAAGTCCACAAATGACAAATGCTGGAGAGGCTGTGGAGAAAAGGGAACCCTCCTACACTGCTGGTGGGAATGTTAATTAGTGCAGCCACTGTGGAAAACAGTATGGAGGTTCCTTAAAAAACTGGATAGAGTTGCCATGTGACCCAGCCATCCCAATCCTGGGTATATATCCAGAAGAGATGAAAATTCTAATTCAAAAAGATACATGCACCCCAAAGTTCATAGCAGCACTATTTATAATATCCAAGACAGGGCAGCAACCTAAATGTCCATCAACAGATGACTGGATAAAAGAGATGTGGTATATTTATACAGTGGAATACTACTCAGCCACAAAAAAGAATGAAATAATGTTGTTTGCAGCAACATGGATGGACCTAGAGATGATCATACTAAGCAAAATAAGACAGGGAAAGACAAATATCATATGATATCACTTATATGTGAAATCTAAAAAAAAAACTGATACAAATGAACTTATTTACAAACCAGAAACAAACTCACAGACACAGAAAACAAACTTATAGTTACCAAAGGGGAAGGGAAGAGGAATAAATTAGGAGTTTGGGATTAACAGATATACACTACGGTATATAAAATAAAAACCAAATCCTACTGCAGAGCACAGGGAACTATATTCAATATCTTGTTATAACCTAGAATGGAAAAGAATCTGAAAAGAACATGTGTGTATGTGTAACTGAATCACTTTGCTGTACACCTGAAACCAACACAACACTGTAACTCAACTACGCTTCCATAAAACACACATCCACCTAGATCCCTCTACTTGGCAATTGAGAGGTGCTAGTTTAACAGTGTAGACACGGGATCAAGACTGTCTGGGTTCAAATCCAGGGCTAACTCACTCTTACTATTTGTGTGACTTTGGAAAACTTCCTTCACCTGCAAAATGGGAGAAACAATAGATTTTCTTGTGCGGATTAAGTGACTGAATATATGCAAACGACTTAAAAGTGGGACTGGCACGTGGGAAGCTACCGTTATATGAGGCTCAGTGTGTGTCGTATGTCCTGGGGCCTGTGGTCATATATTGATCAACGGAATCTGAGTTGGAAATAGGAATTACCAATTGGAGATTGGAGGGCAGAAAACAGAATCGGAGATGCATTTTGCCAAAACGCCCCTTTAAAAAAACTTTCTGGAATTTTACCAGGAAGTGGGTCCACATCCGGCACATCTGCTACCTACAGCTCATCAACCACCCTTACACACAGTCTGGAGAGCGTGTCCCTTTAGCCATCTGGGCATTCTTTTAATTGGACCCATGAGGTGAGGGTCATGGTTCGTACACCTGAGGGGGAAGGTTTTTCTTCAATTTTACGCAACAAGACAATATATTGTGACAGAATGCCACCCACCGCCACCCCACCCGACAGCCGAAGAAGCACTTGCCGCCCACTGCTTGGCAAGTGCGGACTTCCACTCCATCGTTTCCAAGCAATTCACTCTCTGCAGGAGAAAAACAAATAATGACAAAGAAAAATCAGTCTTCAAGAGGCTGGGGGAGAGCCTAGCGCTGTCCTTTCTTCCTGGTGAATGGCTTCTTAGCTCGAAGTTTTCCTTCTCCACGCCACCCTCCCCTGGCTGTTACACTTCGGTGAGGGCCAAGTCCAGGGCTAATCGGAGGAAGAGGGGAGACGGGAACTTGAATGGCTGGACAGTGATCTGTGCACGTGGTAAGGCTGGCTCCTTGGTCTCAAGCTGGGGCAGACTTTAGAGCGGTAGCCACTGAGGAGCAGGGGCGCTGAAGACCACTGACCCGCATCTCCTCCTTAGCCTGCTGGTTTATCTGATGTTGGGGTCCCCCTGCTGGGCTTGCACACCTGCAGGGGTTTCAAATGCCTCAGTCCTGGGAGGAGCCCCATTTTCACAGTCAGACCTGTGTTCATCTTCTTACCTGCAGGCAGTGAGGTCACCAGGAGGCAGAGCAGCCTAAGGACACAGAGCCTCATGTCGAGGAGGGCCCAGAGCTGGCACTCCCCGGGGTGGCTGCCCGGCTGGCTCCTTTATAGCGCTGGGTGAGGCTGGGTGGGGCTGGGCACTAGCCTCATTCTATCTGGAAGGACACCCAAGGGAGACAGGCTTCTTCAGGGTTAGAGAAAAAAGCCCCCGGGCCGTTCTGTGCCACTGTCTGTTCCACAAGCACGTGCTGCAGGGAGTGTCTCCCCCAGAAAAGTTCACTGAGGGATGGTGGACGATGGTGGCTGGAATCTGGGAGCCTGGCGGGTCCTGGGGAAGGCTCTCTTTTTGGAGTTGGGGGGTTAGGACCCATTCCTGGGCTGTCACAGGAAGAGCCAGCCCGCTGCTGTGTTCGGGGTGGGATGGCAGTGCTGGGCGTGGAGTGGAACAGTGCTTCCCTGGAGCTATGAGGACACAGCTCCGGGGCAGGGCCATCAGGTCTGCCTCCGAGGAGTGATGGTGGGGGGCCAAGAGCTGAGAGGACAGGAACTGAGGCTTTATTCTTGCCCCTGAGGCAGGCTTGTACCCGAGTGACCCACATCAGTAGGGTTCCGAGTATGTAAAGTCGCCACAGATCATGGTTTTAGTGGTTATGCTCCGTTTTGCAGTCACAGACCCTTGGGTAAATTATTTAGCATCTCTGAGCTTCAGTTTCCTCGTTTCAAAAAAGTGCCTTGTAAGAGGTTTTTTTGGAGGGTGAAACGAGATGAAACCTATGAAATGCACTGTGCTCATTCTGGTATAGATTTCCTCCTCCTCCTCCTGTCAGTCCTCCTCGCCCTCCTCATTCTGTTAAATTCCACCGCTATGGCTGCATTCCCTTCTCTTTTACAGACCCTCTCAAAGAGACTTCCTAGTGAACGCAAAACATCACTGGGGGCGGGGAGGGAGCAACTGGGAGTTTGGGATTTGCAGATGCACACTGCTGTCTATAAGATAAACAGCAAGGTCCTTCTGTAGCAGAGGGAACACTATTCAATGCCTTGTAACAGCCTATAATGAAAAAGAATATGAAAAGGAATATATATATAGAAAACAGAATCACTATGCTATACACCAGAAATTAATACATTATAAACTGACTACACTCCAATTAAAAAAAATCATTGGGGAAGTTTATGCTGCATATTGTTGTGAGCACTGCTCTAGGTGGAAAAGGGAATGGGAGAGGGCTGGTGGGCCAGCGGACTAGAAGCACGTAGGCCAGGGCTCCATCACGGCTGACGACTCCCCTGCGTGACCCCTGGAAAGGCTCCCACGAGACCCTGCACTGAGCATTTTAAAAATTTGCATTCTGTTTTTATTGAAGTATAGTCAGTTTACAATGTTGCATTAATTTCTGGTGTACAGTATTATGTTTCAGTCATACATATACATACATATATTTGTTTTCATATTCTTTTTCATTATAGGTTACTGCAAGATATTGGAAATAGTTCTCTGTGCTATACAGAAGAAACTTCTGGTTTATCTATTTTAGATACAGTAGTTAGTATCTGCAAATTTCAAACTCCCAATTTATCCCTTTCTACTCCCTTTATCCCCTGGTAACCATGAGTTTGTCCTCTATGTCTGGGAGTCTGTTTCTGTTTTGTAAATAAGTTCATTTGTCTTTTTTTTTTTTTTGGATTCCACATATAAGTGCTATCATATGGTATTTTTCTTTCTCTTTCTGGCTCCACTTAGAATGATGATCTCCAGATCCATATGTGTTGCTGCAAATGGTATTATTTTATTCTTTTTTATGGCTGAGTAGTATTCCATTGTGTAGATATATCACATCTTCTTTAGCCAGTCATCTGTCGATGGACATTTAGGTTGTTTCCATGTCTTGGCTACCATAAAACAGTGCTGCTGTGAGCATTGGGGTGCATGCATCTTTTTGAATTATATTTTCCCCCAGACATATGCCCTGCATTGGGCATTTGACTCCTGCCCATTAAGTCCGGGTCATACCCTGACCATCTGCTATCACAGACAGAGCACAGGCTCAGTGGGGACCCCTCATTCTTATACAAATGGCGAAAACAAGGCTCAGACTGGTGAACGGGCTTGCGTAAAGAATCACGCTGTTGGCTGTGCTGGCATCAGACGTTCAGCTCTCTTCATAGTCAGTGGGGAGCTCTGTCCTCCACGTATTTTAAGTTATTCAGTTGTGCACTAGGGAATATGTGAGGTATGAACTGAACGTTTTCTAATACTCCTGAGCCCCTCCTATTACACAGTTCTGCAAAAGAAATATATATATATATTATTCTAAAATGTGTTTGGAGATCAGTGTTTGGAGATCAGTATGTGTTCAGGACAGACCCTTTCCTCTCCACCCACTCATGTCCTGGTTAAATCACCGTTCCCACCTTCAGGCAGGAGCTTCTCCTAAGGGTGCTGAGCATGCCCACCTTCTTCCTGAGGTCTTGTTGGGCAAAGCTGGCAGGGGACACACCTGGCTTCATCCTCTTCCCTTTAGTGTTGCTCCATTGGTACTGTCTTCTTTCATCTCGGTTCTCCAGAATTCTCATGCCCTCCTCAGTATCTCCACCTTCAAGAAAAGAACCACCCACCCCGGACCCTGCGCTGCCCCGAGGGATCGCCGTGTGGAGGGGCCTGCCTCCATCACTACTCAGAGAGTTCCTGGGTACAGGGATTCACTCTTTATTTTCTCCCATGGTTTTTATTTTTAAGCTTTTAAACTAAGTTGTTGATAAAAGACATTTAATACACATAAAGAAAAAGAACAAATCATATACATAGCCTAGTGACGGAACATATAACAAACACGTGTAACCACCGCTCAGATCAACAAAACACGTTCTCCAGCACCACGAAGGTCCCAGTGCACCATTAAGTGACCGCAGCCCGCTCCCTCCCCACAGAGGGACTCACTGTTCTGAACTGGACCCTCATCACTTCCTTGCTTTGCTTTGTAGTTTTCTCTTTAATACGCATCACCAAACGGGTGCATTTTAATTTGGCTG